TATCTTCACAATAAATAGAATCATGCATTATTGTATTGTTACATGTATGTTTTTCATACATATGCTGCAGTCAATTGAACTAATCCGTAAGACGGTCCTGGGTTTGAATCCGGGGGGGGGGAACATGGCCTTTCTGAGTGTAGTTTTTACATTTATCTCCGTGTCTCCATGTGCTCCAGTTTACCCACAGCCAACATGTACAATAGGTTATATATGGACCCAAAAAATCCCTATTGGGAAAATAAAGTATAACTTACATTATTATGCCGTCTTTACTTTAAATGACTTAACGGGCCACAGGGTTAGGGCTTTTTATTTCACTGAGAAAAGTACATTGAGTCTTTCCCAGGAAAACAACGTCACATTTTGGAATCTGAAATCAATCCAATAAAGTCAGAAGAAGGATTGATATGCCGAGATCCAGGGTCCACACATTTCACACAAAATGGTCCCAACAGCAGAACCAACAACATCCTCTGTGGAGGCATATTTTTGGCAAAGGTGAGTGTATAGGTAGTGCCCAGTGGTCCTTTTGTCATGGCTGGTTCCCTGCTCTCCCTGGTCCTTCTTCAGAATGACCTCTCCCAACTCAGATTCAACAGGACTTAATCAGTGAGTAAGTAAACAGACATTTGAACAATATTTCTCCTGTATTTGAATGATTTTGCGCAAGACCTAAACCTGCGGGTGTCTGTATGTATGTGTGTGTGCATGTGTACATGTATGTGTGTTTGTGTAAATAAGATAGTGAGCAAACAAATATTGCAGATCATATCAGTCTTGCAGTGTAAAGATAACCTTTCACTCTGCGGGTGAAATTCCCAGTTCTACTAATCCACTGCTTTTATACATAATCATTTTAACAAAACAAAAACATTGTTTCAAAAGACAATATGCATTTTGATCCAGTCCCAAACTATAAAACATCAGCAGATCATTTCCTGTTTCTAGCCTGAAAGTCAACTCCCAAAACAAAAGAAAACAGCACCGAGCATAAATGCCCATTAGATTCTGTTGACCATAACCCGGCTATACCCTGCTGTTCCTCATTATAGCATTCGATGTGATCTATGCCTCTAATGCAGCGGGTACCAGACTAACGATGTTGAACTTGTTTCAAGACAGCTTGAGCTTGTGCAGTTGACCTGACCGCTGTGTGAGGCTGACCAGAGGAGGCTAAGCTGACAGCGGGCACATGCCACATTAGGCGTACATCTCCTGCCCTGTCTATCCATGTCCAACGAGCAAAACTGCTGCCAAGATACCAGTGTCTCCTCTGATGTTTCTGAGGTGGAAAAGCTAAACTTTGCCACTGCTCCACAGTATTTGATCTCACGGTAACGGAGGTGTTGAACTATCCATTATGCTAACACTTGTCAATACCATTTTCATTCCGTATACTGAATAAACCTGATTGACAGTAGTAACAGTGCTCTCCACTCAGCCACTCTCGCTTCTCAGCAAGAACTTCCTGGGTTTGAACCCCAGTCAGAACTGGGTCTTTCTGGGTGAAGTTTGCATGTTCTCCCAGTGTCTGTGTAAGTTTCCTTCGGTTTCCTCCGGGTGCTCCGGTTTCCCCTACCACTAAAAACATGTACAATAGGTCTGGCATGCGCCTCCTGTATGGTGACCTACCTCCCAACTCTGTGTGGAGTGAGAGACTAATTTCCACAATTGTAAATCTCTTTGCGACTCTGGCCTGTGAAAGGCGCTATAAGTAAAGAATACTTACTTACATACTTTTATATTTGAAATTACTTTGCAGCACGATAGCTGAGTGGGTGCAGCGCTCAGGCCTTACTGGAGCCATCTTCCTTATATAAGCATTTATTACGACAAGGTTAGCTTTGTGAAGTAACATGTAGCTCACACGGTTGCTCGGGCAAATTGGAGTTTCTGATTGGTCCTTAAAGCACATAGCACATTTTATTTTTTTAAGCCCAAAACGGCAGGTGTGACACAAACGGTTACTGAACTAGGAGTTTACTACGAGTTGGGCTTCATTGAGATAAAGAGTAAGCATTGTCCAAACAGTCTTTGGGTACATTTGTGAATAGCCTTTCTCTGTGGAGTTTGAACGTTTCTCCCCTGCAGGAGAATGTGGGTTTCTCTCGGGCGCTCCGGCTTCCTCCACCACCCAAAACATGCACCGGTATGAATCTGGTGAGTGAGTGATTGATAGTGGTTGTCAGAGGCGTTGTATGTGGAGTGAATGCACAGTGACATCAACGTAGCGCTTTGAAAGACTTCATTATTATCCATTTGTTCAAAATGACATTGCTTTCACATATTTCTATTAGTTGTACAGTAAAATGCAGCAATGACGGTTTTGTTCCAGTTTGAAAGCTGAGTTTGGGAGGCATCTGACTTATAAATCAGCACATTTGACTGACTATCTGTAAAGGCCTGGTGTGTAACTCATTTGGATCAATTACTGTGATTATTTTGGAGCAAACTACAGCCAGACGGAGCTTCAAAATAACTATGAAGTGAACGATAGCTCTGCTCAGCACTTGGAACAACGAGACATTTCCCGCTCAGAAGGTGGCTTAACTTTATTGATTTTTCATAGCGTATTTTTTCCTAGCTGTGAGAATATCATTACTTGGTGCATAATTGTTGAGGGCATATGATCCAGTCCCAGTGCGGGCTCCATCTGCTGCAGGAACCCGTGAAGAGATGTGTCAGTGACTGCAGGCTTCACTGGAGGAATCACGCAAAGCAGCCCTCAGCACACGGGGATAAAACCCTTTAGTCAAAGATATGCACATAAATAAACCCACAGAGAAGGCATTATCTCCAACCCCCATTGAAAATCATTTGGATGTTTGAAATAAAGTTAAACAGGACAGAACCAATATATGACATCAAAAACAAAAGAAATGACTTTATCTTTTAATTTTGGGCTACACACAAATACATTGAATGGAATTAAATCAAAAGTGCATGTCTCGATGGACTGGACCCGTAAAGAAGTACTGGTGCCAGTTACATGCAGGAGAATAAAACACATTATAAAACATGAATTTACTCCACAACCAATATTAAAATGGGAAAACAATTATACACCCCCACTTCCAGCTCCTCTCCAAGCATTTAGAATTAGAATTTAGATTAGAATATAGACAATGGTGTGTGAGAGATATTTTCCCCATTTTCATACAGCCTTAAAGCTGTGCATGTAAAAATGGTTTTCTTTCAGACAAAGCTTTAAGTCTTGTTTAAATATAGATGCTTAACTTTTACACCTAGAATACCATGTCTCTGCTTACTACTAGATTTGTTGCTTTTGTGAAACTATTCTGTTTTGTTCGCTCAGAAGGAAACTGTCTTTTGAACGCTGTCAATAGGGGGTCCTGCTCAATCCGCTCCACAGGCTGTTTGGAGACGTTGACTATAAATATGCAGTATTTGGAAGATTGGCTTGTTATGTGAAAGATTTGCATATTGTTGGATAGTGAGTCATGCGAGGTTAGCAGCGATTCAAGGGTCGAGAAGGTTGACTGCACAGTGGGGCAGGAGCTTCTGCTAATAACGGTCCAACAGCCACTGGAGGTGAGCACCAGGGCGAAGGCAGGGACACGGACAAGCCAGGTTCATTTCAAACATTTCTAACATGCAGTAGTTTATTGGAGCTACCTCCGGCAAGAAGGCTATGTTTTCACCAAGGTTTGCATGTGTGTGTATGTGTGTGTGTGTGTCTGTGTGAGAGAGAGTTATAAATTAGCAAAATAACTCCAACGACATTTTCAGTATTCTGAGGAATGGGATCAGGAATACAGAAAAATAAATTGGTGGAGGCCCCTGCTTTAGGGCTGCACGATATATACAAACAAGAATACCGCCATTGCATGTCATTGCATGCCTCTTTGTCACAGATACCATTAAATCAAATGATTTAGCATGTATGAACTTACAATATATACATTTATTACAGGATCCTCACAGCAGCAGCAGAACCATTGATTTGAATGTAATTTCAAAACGTTCTACCGGTCATTATTTTCTATAACGGACCTCTCAAAACAATAGTGACCGCTGCCCTTTGGCAACGCACTCTCTGCTTGTAATTCATGAGTGTAGATTACTCCGCAAGTAGTTCCGGCCACTCCGGAGCTAGCCACGCTCAATAAACAAAAATACCAATCAATCAAGACAATTAAATGTTAATCGGAGAATATATTAGACATATACATTCTTAACACACGTGCACGGAGGATTTTCATGACAAAAAAACTTTTAATGCGAGAAAAAGCGTCCGTTTCGCCCTGTCGGTACTTATTTTCCGATAATGACCTGTGTACGATACATTATCCCTTACGTATTTAACCTTTGATGCAATGAAAGTTTAATAATATTAAAAAGAATATTGTATTTGTTTTATGCAAAGTAAACAAATACAATTCATGAATCTTCTTCCACTGAGTTATGAGAGTTTTTCCTTGTCGACGCAGGAGGGTCTGAGGACAGCGGTGATGATCCAGGACACCCGAAATTCAACGTCATTAATGGACATTTATCAACAATTATGAACATTGGTCATCTTCCCCTAATGGACCAATGGATCTGTGTTTTTTTAATCACTGCATTTCCTGTGTTTGAACCGTTTGATTCTCTGATCTGTGTTGGCGAGTCAAGGCCTTTCGAGATAAATACTGTTGTGATTCAGGGATATATGAAAAGTAATTGAGCTGAAATGAAAATATTGCAATATACATTCATATTACCAGTTCTTGTAAACCTTAGTCCAACACTGTGCCGCTCTATTCTGCTTTCTATGCCTAGAATATTGAGTTATTTTCTAGATACATTATGTGTTAAGTGAGTTTTTTTCTTGAATTAACTGTACAATGACATACTGATACCAATGCCAAAACCCAGAATGAAAAAACCCCTAAACCGTTGCTCTTTTTGTTCGTTTTACACCAAAACTACAGCAGAATGATCATCAACATGCCAGAGCGCAGTTCAACAGAATGCCCGGCCGCATGAATGATTTCTTACTTTGACCCTCCCACAGGAGCGCACTCGTATCCTGAGTCCAACCTGCCGCCATAATCACATCCATCATCCTCTTCTCTCCCTCCATGGTCTCGCTTGTTCCCTAGGTGACAGCCATTTTACATCTCTGTTGGCTGTTACTAAGGTTACAGAGCAATGACTAAATGCAACAGGTGCCTCTTTTCTGTCATGCCGCCCACCCTCCTCCCCCCAGAGCGGGAGGGGCACGGAGCCAGGATTCAAGCCAGGACAAAAAACTCTGATAGAGCTAGCGTCACTTTATTTGTGGCCAACAGGTTATAGAGTAAACAGATACAATCGACTTATATGTGCAGCATTTCTTCCAGTATTGCATTTTATTTATGTGTTTCATGTTGTTGTTTTGAACTTTCCAAGCACTTTAGCATGTTATAAAAGTGCTATATACATACATTACACTCATATACATTATATATAATGTATATGAGACGGGCGGTCTCATCAGACACACCCCCTCCATCAACCACACCCCCCTGTCCTTACCCCCTCCATCAACCACACCCCCCCTGTCCTTACCCCCTCCATCAACCACACCCCCCCTGTCCTCACCCCCTCCATCAACCACACCCCCCCTGTCCTCACCCCCTCCATCAACCACACCCCCCCTGTCCTTACCCCCTCCATCAACCACACCCCCCCTGTCCTCACCCCCTCCATCAACCACACCCCCCTGTCCTTACCCCCTCCATCAACCACACCCCCCCTGTCCTTACCCCCTCCATCAACCACACCCCCCCTGTCCTCACCCCCTCCATCAACCACACCCCCCCTGTCCTCACCCCCTCCATCAACCACACCCCCCCGTCCTCACCCCCTCCATCAACCACACCCCCCCTGTCCTCACCCCCTCTCCATCAAACACACCCCCCCTGTCCTCACCCCCTCCATCAACCACACCCCCCGTCCTCACCCCCTCCATCAACCACACCCCCCCTGTCCTCACCCCCTCCATAAACCACACCCCCCCGTCCTCACCCCCTCCATCAACCACACCCCCCTGTCCTCACCCCCTCCATCAACCCACATCACCCCTGTCCTCACCCCCTCCATCAACCACATCACCCCTGTCCTCACCCCCTCCATCAACCACATCACCCCTGTCCTCACCCCCTCCATCAAACACATCACCCCTGTCCTCACCCCCTCCATCAACCACATCACCCCTGTCCTCTCCCCCTCCATCAACCACACCCCCCCTGTCCTCACCCCCTCCATCAACCACACCCCCCTGTCCTCACCCCCTCCATCAACCACATCACCCCTGTCCTTACCCCCTCCATCAACCACCCCCCCTGTCCTTACCCCCTCCATCAACCACACCCCCCCGTCCTCACCCCCTCCATCAACCACATCACCCCTGTCCTCACCCCCTCCATCAACCACACCCCCCCTGTCCTCTCCCCCTCCATCAACCACATCACCCCTGTCCTCACCCCCTCCATCAACCACACCCCCCTGTCCTCACCCCCTCCATCAACCACACCCCCCCTGTCCTCTCCCCTCCATCAACCACACCCCCCCTGTCCTCACCCCCTCCATCAACCACACCCCCCCTGTCCTCACCCCCTCCATCAACCACACCCCCCCTGTCTTCACCCCCTCCATCAACCCACACCCCCCCTGTCCTCACCCTTCCATCAACCACACCCCCCCTGTCCTCACCCCCTCCATCAACCACACCCCCCCTGTCCTCACCCCCTCCATCAACACACCCCCCCTGTCCTCACCCCCTCCATCAACCACACCCCCCCTGTCCTCTCCCCTCCATCAACCACACCCCCCCTGTCCTCACCCCCTCCATCAACCACACCCCCCCTGTCCTCACCCCCTCCATCAACCACACCCCCCCTGTCCTCACCCCCTCCATCAACCACACCCCCCCTGTCCTCACCCCCTCCATCAACCACACACCCCCTGTCTTCACCCCCTCCATCAACCACACCCCCCCTGTCCTCACCCTTCCATCAACCACACCCCCCTGTCCTCACCCCCTCCATCAACCACACCCCCCTGTCCTCACCCCCTCCATCAACCACACCCCCCCTGTCCTCCCCCCCTCCATCAACCACATCACCCCTGTCCTCACCCCCTCCATCAACCACACCCCCCCTGTCCTCACCCCCTCCATCAACCACACCCCCCCTGTCCTCACCCCCTCCATCAACCACATCACCCCTGTCCTCTCCCCCTCCATCAACCACACCCCCCTGTCCTCACCCCCTCCATCAACCACACCCCCCCTGTCCTCACCCCCTCCATCAACCACACCCCCCTGTCCTCACCCCCTCCATCAACCACACCCCCCCTGTCCTCACCCCCTCCATCAACCACACCCCCCCTGTCCTCACCCCCTCCATCAACCACACCCCCCCTGTCCTCACCCCCTCCATCAACCACACCCCCCCTGTCCTCACCCCCTCCATCAACCACACCCCCCCTGTCCTCACCCCCTCCATCAACCACACCCCCCCTGTCCTCACCCCCTCCATCAACAACATCACCCCTGTCCTCACCCCCTCCATCAACCACACCCCCCTGTCCTCACCCCCTCCATCAACCACACCCCCCCTGTCCTCACCCCCTCCATCAACCACACCCCCCCTGTCCTCACCCCCTCCATCAACCACACCCCCCCTGTCCTCACCCTTCCATCAACCACACCCCCCCTGTCCTCACCCCCTCCATCAACCACACCCCCCCTGTCCTCACCCCCTCCATCAACCACACCCCCCCTGTCCTCACCCCCTCCATCAACCACATCACCCCCTGTCCTCTCCCCCTCCATCAACCACACCCCCCCCTGTCCTCACCCCCTCCATCAACCACACCCCCCTGTCCTCACCCCCTCCATCAACCACACCCCCCCTGTCCTCACCCCCTCCATCAACCACACCCCCCCTGTCCTCACCCCCTCCATCAACCACACCCCCCCTGTCCTCACCCCCTCCATCAACCACACCCCCCCTGTCCTCACCCCCTCCATCAACCACACCCCCCCTGTCCTCACCCCCTCCATCAACCACACCCCCCCTGTCCTCACCCCCTCCATCAACCACACCCCCCTGTCCTCACCCCCTCCATCAACCACACCCCCCCTGTCCTCACCCCCTCCATCAACAACATCCCCCCTGTCCTCACCCCCTCCATCAACCACACCCCCCCTGTCCTCACCCCTCCATCAACCACACCCCCCTGTCCTCACCCCCTCCATCAACCACACCCCCCCTGTCCTCACCCCCTCCATCAACCACACCCCCCTGTCCTCACCCCCTCCATCAATCACACCCCCCCTGTCCTCACCCCCCCCCTCCAACAACCACACCCCCCCTGTCCTCACCCCCTCCATCAACCACACCCCCCCTGTCCTCACCCCCTCCATCAACCACACCCCCCCTGTCCTCTCCCCCTCCATCAACCACACCCCCCCTGTCCTCACCCCCTCCATCAACCACACCCCCCCTGTCCTCACCCCCCTCCATCAACCACACCCCCCCTGTCCTCTCCCCCTCCATCAACCACACCCCCCCTGTCCTCACCCCCTCCATCAACCACACCCCCCCTGTCCTCACCCCCTCCATCAACCACACCCCCCTGTCCTCTCCCCCTCCATCAACCACACCCCCCCTGTCCTCACCCCCTCCATCAACCACACCCCCCCTGTCCTCACCCCCTCCATCAACCACATCACCCCTGTCCTCACCCCCTCCATCACACACCCCCCCTGTCTTAACCCCCTCCATCAACCACATCACCCCTGTCCTCACCCCCTCCATCAACCACACCCCCCCTGTCCTCACCCCCTCCATCAACCACACCCCCCTGTCCTCACCCCCTCCATCAACCACACCCCCCCTGTCCTCACCCCCTCCATCAACCACACCCCCCTGTCCTCACCCCCTCCATCAACCACACCCCCCTGTCCTCACCCCCTCCATCAACCACATCACCCTGTCCTCACCCCCTCCATCAACCACACCCCCCTGTCCTCACCCCCTCCATCAACCACATCACCCCTGTCCTCACCCCCTCCATCAACCACATCACCCCTGTCCTCACCCCCTCCATCAACCACACCCCCCCTGTCCTCACCCCCTCCATCAACCACACCCCCCTGTCCTCACCCCCTCCATCTACCACATCACCCCTGTCCTCACCCTCTCCATCAACCACATCACCCCTGTCCTCACCCCCTCCATCAACCACATCACTCCTGTCCTCCAACAGCTCCTCTGCCTCCCCCTCTCTCCCCCATCACTCACAGTATCCAATACAAAATCCTGCTCCTCACATTCAAAGCCATCCACAACCTTGCTCCTCCATAACCTGACTGACCTCCTCCAGATCTCCACACCTGCCCGCTCCCTCCTCTCTCCTCCTGGTCCCTCCTCCTCCTCGTCACCATGGGGAGTAGAACCTTCAGCCGTTCTCCTCCCCAGCTCTGGAACACTCTCCCCCCTGACCTCCGTGACACCGACTCACTCACATTCTTCAAATCCACCTCAAAACTCATCTGTTCAGACAAGCCCACTAACATAACCACACTCTCCTCTGTCCATGATGCTTTTAACTTTGTATTTTAATTGTTTTTAAAATGCACTTTTTACTTGTATGTAAGGCGACCTTGAGTGTCAAGAAAGGCTCCTAAGAAATAAAATGTATTATTATTATTATTGCTTATATCTAACCCAAAGGCCTTGGTGTGACATGTTTGAGAGAAAAAAAGGAGAAGTTAAGAATTAAGCAAACGCTAAGGAAAAAAACAAGAAAGAAAAGAACGCTTCCCCAAATGACACAAAGTCAATCTTGAAGACGAAAAAATGTAGTTGAAAAAAGCCATGAACTTATAAAAAAAGATCTCATCGTTGCTTTTTGCTGGACTCATCACAAACTATTGCACCACACATGAAACTGCTCTAAAAACCAACTGGGAACTGAATCACCATTTATACATGTTATGTCAAGCAGAAAAGTGCTTTTTCATCAAATTAAAAAGCATAACAAAGAATTCCCGGAGCTTATTATTACAGATGCTTTCACCTACTTCTATCTGGGGATCGGACAATAATATTATCTTTTAAATATTGGCAATTGACAAACTCCTTCTTATCCAGCCGATACATGTACCATGGCATGCTTTACCTGACACACATATCTATACTCTAAACCATAATTCCAAAATGTTTAATATTAGATAAATCAGTCAGTAAACCAATCGACGACACTCTTCAGCTGCAGTTCTGTTTCAATCGAAGAATAGCAGTATTTGTTCTGAAAAAAGTTACCAAACAAGAATATCCAAACCCACATTCAATAAAAGTAATAGTTCAAAACACCTTTTAGAATAAGACAAGACAAGAGAACCTTTATTCGATCCTCAGTGGGGACTTTTCCATGTTGGAAATATCTTCCTCCACTTCCCTTCTTTAAAATAAAACTATTTCCATCAATATCCACAAAGGCCTTATGAAACGACAAATGTCCTAATTGCTAAGTATCAGGCATGGATAAAACTCATGTTATCTATGCATGATACTTTATGTTCAATGAAAGCCCATCAGGTCAAAACACTGGAAGAATCAACAAAAAAGGATAACAGCAGATTTTGGGTTGGCTAGGGCCTAGTTTAATCTCCCCAACCCCTGCACACCCACGGCCTGCCCCTGATTCTCCATCTGTAGAGACCCTCCACCCAAAGTTTGTTTCCATTTCTATCTCCCTGTTTTCCTTCCATCAAACACCTCCAGCATGTTCTGCGCCTCTCCACTCCCTTCGCTATCCTGCACTCAGGCGCCCACTCAACGCCTCTCCTTCTGATGGACTCGCCAAAATACTCCGATCAAGTGAAATGAAACATGGTAAGTGGATGGGGTGCGGAGATAATAGGTTGGATGTGAGATATTTTAAACAATTTGCACAGCTGTGGGAAACTGGCAAAAGCTGATATATTCTTTCAATGATTGATTGGTCCCAATAGTAATGAGTAACCCATTCACATCTTTTGCTCTAAGGGTTTTCTAGGCAATGAACTTCACAACTGATTTAGTTGAGAAACGTTCCAGTTCTCAGGTCTCTGCACTGGCTTCCTGTGGCTCAGAGAATAGACTTTAAAACAGCTCTGCTTGTTACAAGTCTCTCCATGGCCTCGCACCAAAATATATTAGAGACATGTTAGTACCATATGAACCAGCCCAGACTCTGAGGAGCACAGGGACTGGACCCCTGCTGGGACTCTGAGGAGCACAGGGACTGGACTCCTGCTGGGACTCTGAGGAGCACAGGGACTGGACTCCTGCTGGGACTCTGAGGAGCACAGGGACTGGACTCCTGCTGGGACTCTGAGGAGCACAGGGACTGGACTCCTGCTGGGACTCTGAGGAGCACAGGGACAGGACTCCTGCTGGGACTCCGAGGAGCACAGGGACTGGACTCCTGCTGGGACTCTGAGGAGCACAGGGACTGGACTCATGCTGGGACTCTGAGGAGCACAGGGACTGGATTCCTTCTGGGACTCTGAGGAGCACAGGGACTGGACTCCTTCTGGGACTCTGAGGAGCACAGGGACTGGACTCCTGCTGGGACTCTGAGGAGCACAGGGACTGGACTCCTGCTGGGACTCTGAGGAGCACAGGGACTGGCCTCCTGCTGGGACTCTGAGGAGCACAGGGACTGGCCTCCTGCTGATGTCTAGTGTCAAAACTAAACATAGAGAGGCTGCATTTGAGATTCATCCATCCATTTTCTTCCCCTTAATCCATTTCTGGGTCGGGGGGTGGCAGTCAGAGCTGCACCCAATTCACAGAGCACCAGCACCAGATTTTTTGATAAATCTGGAACAATCTTCCTGAATATATGAGACAGGCTTATTCTCTGACAACGTTTAAATCTAGGTTTAAAACAGTTCTGTTTTAGCTGTGTATACAACCAAGGGATGTGTGAATTGTGCTCCATCCATGCTAATACTTAGTTTTGCCGATTTCTCAAGTGAAGGTATGTCTTTATAATTACATTTATTGTTTTTTAATACTTGTTCCACCATAGATTTTCATCTGAAGATATTGTTTCACGTCATGAAATGACAAAGTAAATAGTCTAGAATATCCATAAATCATGCATAATAATTCTTCTTTAAAAGGTACACCTTTTTATGTGAAAAATAACTTACTAAGTTTAATTTTTGCATGTCTGACCTTGTAGTGGTCTGTAGGACTCTGAAGAATCCATTGATTGGATGGTTGTCTCTGCTGAGGAACTCATGCATCAGAAAATCCACCAACAATTGATCCTGGAAGACTGTGGACACAATCCTGATTTTACTACATTAAAAGTTACTTAATGCACTTTTAAAAATCTCTTCTCCAGCACTTGCTTGTCTGCACACAGGTGTTGTAACTCCCCGCAGCCCGCCTCCAGTAAAGCACACGGTTCATTGTCGAATTGCTGCGTCTTGACCTTACCCCTTACCATACAAACTCTTTCATTCCAGCTCTGTTGTGTTGCCACAGGTAAATAACAGTTATTCTAAAACCTAACCTTTGGCACTGTTTGTCTTTTCTGAAAGTCCTTGTTCATGAAAAACATAACTTCAAGAACTTTCTAGGGCCTTTAGCGCAGAATCTTAGACACAGTTTGTATTGTGTATGTCTAAAGGTTTCACTGTTGCTGCTCCAAAAGACACTCCTAAAAGTGATCCATCGCACATCTGTTCTCTTATAATACTAAGAGGTGTATTCATCAAGAATGCGCGTGAGTACAGGAGTGATAAGCCCCTTTTAACATTAGAGAAAACCAATTTATTATGCTCATCCTTGGAGAAATAAACCACTAAAACTGCACACAATACTTTGCACACGCAATTTAGCATCTGGACCACTCCCATTCTTTGATCCCAGCACTGGCTTTTAGTAATAATTTCAATGTTTTATTATTATTGCCACCGTCTTACTTATATGACCTCATCCAGACTGAAGACCAGAGGAGACAAGGCCTTCTCCATGATTCTTGGGTTTCATTAAACTGGTCAGTAGGGGGCGAATGGGCAGAGGTGGGACAACTCAGTTTTGCTCCCGTTGAAAACCATGTAAAGTCTGTTTTGGAGTCAAAGGCTCTCCTCCTGTGCGGCGTACGGTTGTTGGAACAGTCTTAATCGGGGACACTCAATTCTAAGGGAGTACTAACAAGTATTTCTCAGAAGAGTCTTGATTTCGGGCATTTTTGGAAAAAAAAAAAAGAAACAGAAGAATTGCTGCGTTTCATTGGGGTGGCCTGCAGGGGGCGCTTATCTGGGAAAGCCTTGATCCACCTCGCCCGCCTCATTCCAGTGATTCTTTTAAAGTGTCTCCTTTATATGAGTATAAACCACTTCTTCTTCTACTATATCTCCGTGTATAAACCCGGCAGACTGCACCGCCAGGGTACGTCACGTCCTGTCCCATGTTTGTTTTTCGCGCCACTGCCCTGACGTCAGATGAAACCCAAGAATAGGACCAGACTGAAGACCAGAGGAGACAGGGCCTTCTCTGTGATAGAACTCTTCATCTTTGCACATTAGAACCACTGTTGTGGGAGTTTCTATCCAAAGTAAGGAAGAAGCTCGAAAGGTATTGAATAGTGTTATGGCAAGTTGGATTAGCCTCAAGGACGCCAACTCACCCCCCGCTGTTCTATTCAATTAACCTGCAGGAAGGAACCGGTCTCCCCCCCGCACCGACAGACATGACGCAAATTACTATCTCACCTTTGCCCCTTTTGCATTTTGCATCTCTATCGGTCCGTATGTCTGCATCTCTATTGTCCCTTTTACATTCTG